TATTGAGGATTTTACAGATTTTATTGAAGGTAGGAGATTTTAGATGGGAATTCTACCATACTCCTCAACGTTTTTGTATTTGAAGGAAAGAAACGATCAATGATGATTTGTGATAGGATCTTGATGAATATCAAGGATTATGAAGCAGCTATGTGCCAATGTAATGCAAAGTGGATATGAAGAAGAACTTCCTACTGCCTATCTACCTTCAATTTGTTCTGTGTCGATCATTCGGCAGTTGAAACTGAATGAATAGAAATTAATTTTTCTTGCGACATTTCCCATCTAGTTTGAAATTTACTCAAATTTCAAAAGAATGATTCAAAAATTCTAGATTCAGAGTGAGCTACGTTCACGAGAGAGGGGGTAGATGGATTGGGAGGGTTGTTGTTTTTGGTGGGTGGGGTGTGGAGGGATGGGCGGGGCTTTACGCGTTGCACTTGGCACAGTAAAGTTCGTCGAATGATGCACATTAGATAGAAATTTTCAAAAATTACCTTGTAGTATTGAGATACAGCAGATATTCCAGATACCGGGGTGTATGGATACCAAGAAAGAGGGAAGGAGATAGCCGAGGTTGAAATCACCTAGGCAGTCCAAGAATTTCTTGGTCCATGAAACTTTGAACCGAAAATCAAGAGCAAAGGTTTACGACATTTATGAGGGCTTTCCTTCAGGTACTTCATATTTGGATGCATACAAAACACAAACATTTATTTACAAAAACAAATTCCATTAACTAGTAAACAAATGAGCTGCCGAAGTTTTCTCATTCGTTGTGTAAAGGATTACGAGATTACTGTAAAGTTGGACAGAGAACATCGATAGAATTGACAAGAGCGGCATTCGGGTTCCTCAAGAGGATTCTGCTGTGATCTGTGTATCTTCGCATGAGCTCATATACTCCTAAATACGGTAGTTGTTAGTTGGGGACGGGAAGTTTATGGATTGAAATAAGTCCGAAGTAAACATACGTCGTTAAACGATTCCATAGCATTGACAGTGCTCAGCAGAATGTTGTAAAGCTCGGTAACTGGTAATGGAGGCTGAGGGGGCTGAGGGGCGCTCACTAAAAGCTGACACATCATGAAAGAAGGTACACAATGCTCAAAAGAGTAAAATTAACTTTGTATGTGGTCTACTGGAGGTAAAGTTGTTTCCGTGGTAAGGGGCGCCAATAGGTATTGGTCGAAAGATCAATTACCACCAGGAGCCCAGTTCAGGCTAGAAAAAAAGTCCAGCTTCTCTAGGAAGTACTCCGGCATAAAAATCGGTTGGAGGATAAACCCTGACTCAAGCGTCGGCCATTCACCGGCGGCCCCTACATGCTTACAGAAAATACCCATTCAAATGCCTTCGCAATCTGAATCGGAGACCGAGAATGGAGCAACTTACAGGACCTGTGTAGAATTTCAGAGCTAGAAAAATCCTCGTAGAAAGCTCAAGCAAGTGTTCTACCGAGCTAGGCGTCGTATGCCCTTGCCTAATCAGAAGGTAAACCACTGGTAATACCAATTCGAAAATACCACCGAACTTGGGTAGAGCCACTGTAAAGGTCCCTAAGCGAAAGGATATACTACATAGCTACTCTACCATAAGGCAGAAGAAAGAGTCGGACTGAACGAGCTATGATCAATGAAAATTGAAGGAAGCCCTAGAAACAATGACTCTACCGTGTTCTATTGCAGTCTGCATATCTTCCGAGCTGATAGCTGTTTTCAGCACTCCTGAATGTCTTGAAAAAGTCAAGTTTGGAATGGCTGTATGAAGGTCTTCCGAATAAGGATCGGCCCAGTTGTGCAGTTCAGTTGATTTTATCGGCTGCAGTGCTGTACGGAGATCACTGAGACTTTGCGCTGCTTCTCCTCTGAGACCTAAAAATTTCTCAGCAAAACGTTTTGAAATGAACTTAACAAGTTAAGGTCACATTGAGAAAAATGNAAGCCGGGTTCGTCTACTGGATTTTGTCCAACGCCCTGTTTTTTGAATGTATAGGCAGTCTGTAAAAAATACCATCCTGATTTTTGATCATCGCTGTCGTGTCCGGAGTTAGGAATTCAGCTTCTTCGAAGGATGAATAGTTGCTCATCGTGTCAGCCGTACCTGCTGGAAGAGGCACAGAATTCAGATTCAAAGAGAAACTTTGTGAAGTTGTTACTACCCAGACCTGTATAGGAGAAAATATTAAAGCAAGTGCTTGAAGAAACTCTCAATTTTTTTCATAAAAAGTAAGATTACTACTTACATATATCGACGATGAATTTGTCGCCAGAACTAGATTCCTCAGCGATTGAGCTCGTCCTTTTTCCAGAGCTCATTTTCTCGCTTAGCACTTCAGATGGGCTGATACAACTGCTTTGAAGCTCCGTCAGTGACGATGCTGATGTCCACGCTTCTAACCTGTAGCTTCGACTTTGAAAAAACATTCAAAATATGCAAGCTTTGAACTATAGGGGTGATGGTGATGGTAAATAAATAATTAGAGAAAATTTTGGATATTCACTAACTTGATCTCGTTCGATACACCCCTTATAGGCTGAGATGACTGTTCCATCATGGGACTTGAGTAGGGTATTCCCGATGAAAGAGAACTTGACGGGCAATAGTCGAGGTAATTCTTCAGAGACGTGGCAGGATACTGAAAGGTCAGTTTTTGCAGGACTCTACCCCCAAAAAGAAAAATAAATGTTTTTAAAAAAATAGCCTAAAAATGAATTCTAAGGAAGATTTCCTCAAAAAACTAAAGAAATTAAATAAAACATCAAGAATCCGAAAAAAAAGTTGGCTTTACAACTCTCAAATTGTTTTTGCATTTTCCTGACATCGATAATTTTAATCCTAGAATTTAAACAGCTCAAAAAAGGTTATCACTAAGTCAGTAATACCTTGCACGGATCTCCAGCAACATGGCAAGAAACGCCCACTCCGCAGAACCCACCCACCACTTCTGGCTCCCCCACCCCTCCAGTCTTTTGTCTATCCGTCATTTCAATTCCGACTTCAAACCATAGACTGAATTCAACAGCATATACCCAATACCACACTGATGCTGAGTCACTAGTTGTGCGCCGGAACATCTGCCCTTTGTGGGTATCCCGCCTACTTCAAGAACGGCTTCAAGTGTAACAATGCATGCCTACTGAGACAACGCCTAAACATCGTCATGCCTCAAAGTCGCCCATTCGCTTTTCGAGAAAAAGAGCATAGCAGGGTAAGGCGACACCTTAGTATTACAGCTTCTACAAATCACCAATTTGGCACTCGCTCCCCAAATACGCTGCCCTTTTGGATGTTGCCGGACAAAGCTGCTGATGTGAAATTCTCTCTAGATAATATACTCTGCACCTAATAAATATCCACAGAATCTCTACCTCATCCAGAACAGTTTTTTCGATTCCACTTGATCCCAGTACCATCGCTTCCTTCAATTCCTGCCATACTTCAGAGCGAGACATATATCTATCAATCATAAGAAGTGATTCACGGAATGCTGACATCGCAGACATAAGCTGAAAGACGATCATGAGCATTTAAGAAAACTTCAAATAAACTCACACAATAACAGTTCTCCGATACTTTCCGCCTTTTGAGTATCTACGGTACTTTTTATGGTTTATTTTCTTTCTTTTTTTATTAGAATTCTCACGTTTTTCAAACTCTGATAGGTCAAACCTCAGGAATCATATGAAAGTCTCATATATTATTCTGCAAGAAACACGTGTTTTTGGTGGACTTGAGATTCTGTAAACTACACCCGTACTACATCACCAAAACCACGCCCACCCCAAATACCACTCCTCCGAGCTGGCGCGAGAACGTAGACCTAGGCAATTCCTTTTTTGACGTTGCGGAAAACTTGCGGAAATTCTACACGAATTCTATAGCAAGGGACAATTCACCTACCTCTGATACTAGTTCACCTAACTCAAAATCGAATCCGCCCGAAGGTTCTTTTCTGAGTGTGTCCATGTCGTCCATCTGAAAATGCCGTCATGAAGAGCCTACAGAGAGCTTGGATGTGGCAACGAAGCGGTTGCATATGAAAAGTAGTTTCAGGGCAGGCTTGCCGGAAATGACTAAATTCTGCAATGTCCACAGAAAGGAAAAATAGAATGGAAAAACAAAAATAGCAAGAGTCTATTAAACTAGAAACCAGACAGGGTTCCTCTGGTGATTCGATTGGGATCTGAAAGAATTCAAAGAGATACCGCAAATGATCATTCAGTTCCAATCAGTCTCACCATTATGAGTCCAACGAGACTGACTGTAGAAGCGAGTTCGATAATAAATTGAAGGCTCACTTGATTGACTATTCGTTAAGGTGATCGCTCTGCGCTGATGGTTTACGTACGTACCTCCACAAGCTGCTGACTACTGACAGTCAGCTGAAGTAATTTCCATTTTGCAAAAAGGGTATTATCTCAGCTTGAGATGAGAGGGTGCCGTCCAAATACAATGTAGAGAGCAACAGTCCAAAAAGAGCAGATGCTGGGTGTCAACGCTGTGGCGCCGCTTGAGTCCCAGCAAAACCATGAGGAACGGAAACATTTCTAAGAAATGCTGGTTCGACAATTTTCGATAAAAAAAGCCCAAGAACGGTGAAGCTGTTACTCAAACAAATAATTATAAATTGAATTACGAGTTTTTGGCTACTTTTTCAAAAATTCGATAATTCTAAAAAATGAAAAGCATAATTGTATAAAAATGCAAAGCACGTACCTCAGCAAGCGCTTGCTTGGCTATGGAAGTATTCAGTCGGAAGAGGTTGGTGGTGGTGTCGTTGGCGGAGACTTTTTTGGCAAGTGGCGTGATTTTCATGTTCAGTTGTTGTAAGGCATCGTAACGTTGTCGTATCTGAAATGCTCCCAATCCAGGACCCATATTGACTAGCTGATCATGACTGGGAGTTCAGTCCCTGATCACATTGCACTTAGCCCAATCGCTCATTCTCTCATCGCCGTTATGGCTGGACAGGTACCGGAGTAAAACATTTAGATCGACTATCTGATTGCTTAAAAAATTAAACTCGGTGGGTTCCAGAACGAAATAGAAAAAAACGTTCAGGAACTCTATCTCTGTCGTTTCACATAATTTGAGCCCAACCTGTTTCAAAATTCACTCAATTTCTAGAGATTCCTTCTATGTTGGACCATAAATAGCGTTCTATAAGCACGTACCGGAGAAAGGATACTGTCGATTTTTGCCATATGCGTGGCGTGAAGTGAATCCTCTGCGTTGAGCCATTCCATGAGTTTGTCAAGGGAAGTGTAAACCTAAAACATGGAGCTATTAGTCGGTACGGTTGACGAGTAGGAGTCCCGAAAGACATGCCGCGCGCCAAGGCCCACATACTCAACCCCCAACCTTCGAGTAATTATAGGTGTGTTTGGAAGTAAAAGAAAGCTACCGAGTAACTAACAGTGAAGAAGGCCTTCGGTAAAAAAGAAAAACCTCGAAGGCTGTCAACCGAGCAGAGCTTCAACTCGTGGATTTTCAAAACTGTTCTGATTTTTCTCCACTGTTGGGCCTCGCTGGTAGATATTGAGTAATTCTGAAGAGATTTGTTTGTGACCAACCTCGTCTTTTGTTTCGTTCATCAACTCTTCAATCGCTTCAACATCATTGTGAATGTCGGCAAGTACACGAATCAACGCCACTCGTGAATGAGACGTCAAACGTGAAAGTGCAGTAACATGGCGAAGTTGCTCTTGGAGTGGACCCACCAACTCCCTTTCACGTGTCGTTTCCTGGAAGAATTCTCATTGTTGGGAATATTGTGTAAACATGAGCTGATGCCTTTCGACTCAGGGCTCCTGATAACTCCGGTGTAAGGGTTTTCTTGGGAAGATCATTACGTTTGATGCTGTTAAGTGTGATGCTCTCGTAAATGTACAGTAAGCTCCCATGAAGAGATGATGTTAAAAATCTATCAGAATCGTTTTGGATCCATCGATTACGGACCTGGACTTACTTTTGGGTTGTGCAGTTGCTCAATGTTATTGGCGATGACAAGCTATTGTGATAAACCTCTTTATTCAGTGATTTTGAAGTAACTAAAGAATTTTCAAACTTGTAAGGGAACACTTAGGAATGGTGAGGTGTACTTAAGCTGCTCCTAGCACTTCACAACTCTACTGATCTTATAAGCCAAGTAAGCCGATCGCCTTCACGATTATGACCGAAAGTCGAAGACATGGCTCATACCAAAACGAATTATTCACTATTAGTAATTGGCCAGAGGATTTCGAAAAGTGATCAGATCGATCCCTCGAGGGCCGTATCATTCATTGAATTGTTTCCAATTCATCGCCCTCGAATGCTCGAGTGGACGAAGTTGGCCTTTAACTGATAGTACCATCACGAACCATTTCAGTTCCGCATAGTCGGCGATCATCTCCGATTAATGACCGGTAGTAATAATCAAAATGGAAATTGATCGGTGAACTACCGTATCCCGTCTCGTTTCTGAGCGAATTGAGAGCAGACTGGACGAGACAGACCATGCTAATCAAGGCTTTGCACGAGGAAATTGCCGGTGTTTGATGGCGCTACCGTAATCGCCGCTACTTTCTAGTCGAAATACTGGGATCTTTCTGGATCTTTCTTTTCTGACGTCTCGTCGGAGGTCTATACGAAACGATGACAACAATCGACACAGCTTCCCTGTGAAAAATCGATAATCCATCTTTCATTACACCTAATTGCACCATTGGACTATCCGTGAATTGGCTTCAAAATACCATGACGATTGTCTGAAGAACCGGGCAGTTCTTTCGCGTAATCTCATGGATTACTGTACTTTACTATAGTACCTTGCCAAAACATTTGAGCCTCATTTTCTGGGAAAAATATGGATATGACCTGTCGAGCCGTTTATTTCTAAGATTTTCCTAGTGAATCATAAATCAAGTCATTCAGCTGAAGCTGAAACCATGGACGAGGAGACAAATAGCTAGTAACACCTTTTAGATACGTTAGTGGTCTCGTTACTATGCAACGAAAGAGAATGACTGAGTTGAATCGACGAATTTATGGCTGAACCATTTTTAAGTGTTTCACAAGCAGTTCCACATTAGCTTCTCAAAATATAAGTAACCCTTGACTTCCAGCATTTCAAGTATTCAGGTTCCAAGAAAATTATCTTTTTTACTCATTCATTTATTAACCGGCTATAAACGGCGGTAATACCCGATAGTTTCATTTGAACCCTGTTATCAACAGGAATGAGTCCCCTGTCCACTATATGAGCTCGTAGGCGAAGTGAACTCTTAATAAGATTTAGGATTCTCAATAGCGAAGGCTCTGTTACAAAGTAAGTGGAGGACGGGTGTACACAGATGCAGCTACCCCACAATTGCTCCGGGGATGCATCAAAATGTATATCTTCCATTCGTTATAACCCCATGAATTTACATCAGGCTCAACTGAATAGGTGAGAGCCGAGAATAGTCAGTCAACTGGCAGCAGGAATCCATTGTGTGGGTTCATTCCATGGGAATTCAGATCTTGTAAAGATTTTGAAAGGAAGTCGATTAGCTGGCGCATCCAGAATCCGAAAGGTAAAGCTTGGACGTTTTACTTCTGCATCCTTTATTCGACAGAGAAGGTTAGATCTTCTTGTTTTCCAGGGTGTCCGGGTAGGGTCACGGAAGGAAATGTAGGTTGAAATGGATTGGAGTTCAGAGAAGGCTAGATCTAGTGAGAATTCTATCTATCAATTACCTTTGCCCATTTCTGGAACATTTCCAAAATTAACGGAAAAATGCTTCATCTTCAACTACTTCTTATTTTGTGGAGTAAAGGTTCTCTAATGGGTTGACGTAGCTCTACCTCGCCATGATGAGCGAAGAAAAACCCTTTTATGGTATCGGTTTCTGCGCAAAACTATTATATCTTGCGACCTTTCCCTGCCATATATCGTGTCATCCTTCTATTAGGTAAGGAATTTTTCTGAATTTGGCACTATTTCCATGTATGACTACTACTGACACATCTTATCGGGCCTTACGGAGTGATAACTGGTTAATTTTCTACTGGGAGGAAGTCCTAGACTCAAACCTATCAGTGGGAAGGGCCAGCTGCTCAATTCAGCCTCCAGGCCTAAAAACCCGAAAGGGAACTATCGGAAGAAGCTGAACAAAGTAAGAGAAGAGACCAGTCGGAGGGGCTCTACGGAGAGGCTCTCCTGTTTCCGGGTGAACCCAATCCAAACCCTTCCAAGTGCATTTTATTGTTTTCTCGACATGTGGCCTAAGAAAGCCGGGCTGTTTCGTCGCGTTGCGGCGACTTCCGCCGCATTGCGATGTTAGCCCTCTAATAATCAACACATCTGGTTGCAATTAACGACACTTTCATCGCAGAACATAACCATTCACTGTTTTGGCATTCGGCCACATTTTGCACCCTTTGTTTCGCTCAAATCGCCGCCGCCACGACTTCGACGTTTTCACGGCGATTTTATGTATTCATCTCTTCCGAATGGCTTACCTTTGGCTCAGAATCAGTAGCATCTGTTTCCATATCACTCTTTTCGCTAACACTTCTAATTTCGGCCTGATCCCTACTCTCCTTTGTCACATATGTGCTGCTTTCATCGGAAACACTGTTTTCAGTTTCCTCGTTTTCGCTGTCTGTGCCACTATCGCATAGCTCAGGCTCCGTAGATTCTCTCTGGAATTGGAATTGAAACTACTTTGATCCATAATATGATATTCAGAAATTCCTGAATCGCTTAAAGTTAACTGTCCCTTTGTGGGTTGCGCCACGCATGCAATTTCCATTCAGAGCCGCAGGAGCAGCTGAGTGGCTCTTCAGCCCGAACGATGCTGGGGGAGGGGGGAGAGAAGACTGGAGGTGAATCAACTGAGTCTGAGCTGATAGAAGGTCTGTTATCTTCCCCCCTCCCTACATGAGATCATAGGACCTTGCTTATGGTAGCGGCACCCTGACATACCTCACTTCCTCATCTTAGCCTCTCCTTATGGAATAGGTGCTAAAGACTGGATCTTTCTCCATATGAGGTAGATTGGAGTAGTAGGGAATCGCTGACTAACAACCACTAAGGTAGAACGGGATAGCGCAGTCATTCAATTTATGCTTGAATTAGCCGACAAGGAGCTACCGGATTCCCAGCAGCTCATTCCACTTTATTTGGGATGACGGAATATTGCCAGAACTGCTTTTTACCCGGTTCCAATCCACTCTAGCTCTTCAGAATTAACGTGACCACTGGTTCCAAACTCAATTATGGCCAGTCTATAACCCTTTTTCAGGGGTGATGAGCACGACAATGGGAGTTCAAAAGGAGGCCGAAGATGGGAGCTGCTGAGAAGTCATGCTGAAGATTCGATGTTTTTGAAGGCTCTGAATAGGTACTGATCAAGGAATACAAACTCATTCCCATGCCAGCATCAGAAAAAGAATTTTATGACTTACGCTGATCTTGAAGCACTAGGATTGGGTAAACGTGGGCCTGTGGTACCGTACTGTCCCCCACAACTACTTGAATGGCTCTCTTCCGATTTGTCCTCTTTTCTGAAGGTGAAAGACTCACCAACGGAGCGAAATCCATTTCGCGAACACGTTGATTCGGCATAAAGCAGTACAGCCGTGGGCCGTAGTTGATGTCACCGGCGATCATGGGCTATTCTATCGAATGAATCGGCTCGGTAAGCCTGAGCTATAGAGTAAGATCAGTGATTACAGTGATAAGTACAGTATCTCTTCATTTCTGCAATCAGCTTGCTGAACGGGGTCGATGCGTCGAGTAATGATAGTTTCAGTAATAGCAAAACCATTCATCCGTTGGTCGCCCATTCGTCGTACGAAGTAGTTAAGAGTAAGGTGAAGGAGGTGCAGGTTCCTTTTTTTCTGCTGGAACCCGATTAAATGCCAATAGAATTCCCACATAAACTATTTCGAAGGTCACTCAAATTTGAATGAGATTAGTAATTAATTCCGAGTTTTTCATCGAGCCTTGACTCTGCGGGGGTCCCGTGACGGTTAAGGAAAACGCAGAACCATGCGAGTCCAGCCACACCGACCTCATCGCTGGCCGTCAGGTAGGGAATACAGCATGAGCATTTTCACGGCGATAGAGTTAGATGCCAAGATCGCTCACTCATTTCATATTCCAGTGCCGGCGAACTCGTCCATTCACTGGCCAAATCGCTCCTGACTGCTTTTCTTTTCTGTTCTCGACAGTAACCTCTACTTATAGCGGTGGGAGCGGTGGGCCACAGGGTCTGGAAGGCTGACTAGTTGCTCCTACTCAATACTTTTTGGTCTGACCTGATTTTTTAATGGTACAGTAACAAATTTCATGCAATGCAAATCAATTCATAGGCGACTCCGATTTTCTTGAACTGTTCTGGCCATTCTCCCAATGTAACAAGACGGAATCCTGACTACATTCAGGCTCCACCATTCTCGATTTTTCCGCATGGTCCTGCCTGTGAGTAATCAAAAGCTCTTGTATCGTTACCTTTTTGAACTATGGCCCATCTGGGGACTTCGATTCCTGAATTGACACTTTCATCTCCATAACTTCGTTATCGTTTTCCATGTTTTGCTGCTAACTATGACTTTTTTTTCGAGAAATTCGTTCATCAGTAATTACCAGATAAGCCTCGAATGTCATTTATCCATGCAGAGTCTGATGAAACTGGTGTGGCCCTTTACTATTATGAATGAGTGCTGGATACATAGCGCGTAACTGCAATGAATTGAAACCTTTGGTAGATTCGCAATTGGTGCCTAATTTCAGGTGTTTATCGAAGTTTAGCGTTTTCAAAATGGCTCCAGAGAACTTTTGTTTATTCAAAGTTTTCTAACCAAATTATGTCTGCTCATATGGATAACGTTATCGACTATGTACGCGTGAAATCAATACCCATTTCAGAATGACGTTGTCTGCTAAATCGTGTAAGTGGCTTGGAACAATTTGATTGAAGTGAGCGACGAATCCAGTTAAAGAGTAAAGAAAAAGGTCCTAGTGGAAAAAACCCCTCAAGTTAAGGGAAAAATCGTAAGCAATCAGAGGTACCGTAAGGATTTCTAAACTGATAACGTCTGTTGACCTGACAGTAGCCTGAGGATGGGTTAGAAACCTTCGAAATTCCACTAACGGCCATCACCAAATCGAGAGCAAGCCGCTTTTCATCCCTCACGCTCGCACCTGCCGTTCAAGAGAATTAGGAACGCACACGATGGCCTCAATACCATCATTCAACACATTATTTAATGTGACGCATCTGCCAGACACTTCCGATCGTAGTTATGTCTACTTGACTTTTTTTNTTTTTTTGCTCTACTTTGACACCATAAACAAACGAGCTAGGCTTCCAGTTTCTCATAGTCGAAGTACTTCTACCTTTTCGTCTTTCCTCATGGTAATGGAGCAAGTTCAAGTGAGTGAATAGGTCATAGTAAACGTATTTGGAGTGAATCTGAGTCTATACGACCGTAACGAGACGGTGATCATCTTAGTCCTCGGGATGCCACAAAACGCTGAATAAGCGGCCAGTTGATTACTGAAGTAACATCTCTAGAAACATTTATTCCTAGAAGCATTGATATCGATAATAATTAGTCACAATTGGGAGCTTTGGGCGGGGTTAGACATAATGGGTTGGGTTCGGTTGCATTGCGTATTATCAAAGCGAATCCGTGATTGGATGTCAGTGCTCGGAACAATGTTGGACTTATGGCAAAACAAAGAAAGCCATAGCTCAGACAAAGTCCAGAGCAGTAATGAAAGGATGTACCGCCGAAGAAGACTCAAGGCTGAGCTAGGAGCAAGAATGTTTAGAAAACAATATAACCCTGAAAACTTCAAATACCCTTATTTAACTGATTTTCCTCAACTTTTTGCAAAAATTCTTCAATCAGTGCTCACCCTTTGTACAATCAATCGCGGAATCAATGATAAAATCGTCGATCGATGCTAGATGCTTGATTGTAGGATCATTTCGTGATAGTAAGATGATCTGATAGAAATCGAAGAGCTGGACGATTTGCTTTTGACAATTATACTTTCTCATTCAGATACCATTACATTCCAAGAGGAGTGTCGAGTTCATGGTGTATCCTGTTGGATGAGGAATTTGTGCTGAACAACCGAGAATATTTTATATTCAAGTCTTTCATCGAAAATTACCTGAGTTTTGTTATCTATTATCTCTTTCTCTTATCTTTTCTCTCCTTTTTTTTATTCATATGTCTCATTCTAATCACCTCAATTCCATATACGCTCGAGAGGGTAATAAAATGATAGGTAAGTAAGCAAATGAAATGGATCCAGACGATGAAAGGTCATTTGGCGAACTATCACATACATGGCCTGGAATAAAACCTCGACATGCTACCTGCTCAGAACAACTAGGACTTTCATCGATTAGGGAGTCGGCAGATTGGTGCACGACCGGCCTGGGATTGAGAAAGCCTTGTTCTGTACATTGGCTGGCCACGGCAAGTCATTGTATAGGTCACATACTCATTCAGAAGGCTACCGCGATTTCCAAAGACAGACGAATGCGCGGCGCATCCCAGAGAAGAATTTGACAAACGTTGAGAGCCTTCACCCTTCATCCTTCAGGTAGATTGTGGTGAAACCTCGCCCTGATATCATTATCCGACAAACATCGGTTCAACGCCCCGTTGTGTCATTCAGCTGTGAAAAACTATGGCCGAGCACAGGGGGAGGATCACTGGCCAATTTGGGCCTCTTCTTGCATCCTCGATGGCTACCTAACTGGTTGGCTTATGACTGATGACCAAGGTATTCGACCTCTATCCATCGATGGATACATGAAGGGGGCGTAGAACGGAGACGAAGGTGGAGGATAGATTGCTTAGTGGAGCGTCGCTAATTGCAAAAGTAAATGTTGATGTCCTTGAATGATCGTTTTTTTTTTCGTGTCCACCGAACCTGGATATACGTCGTCATGTGTTATCCGTTCACCTTCGAACGATGCGATTCCTTTTTTGGGTAGCAAGCTAGTGTCTCATTACCCACAAATGAGATCGCCGTTTTTAAAGGTTTGCGCTGGCGCCTTAAATATATACCGTAATCGAATCGGAATGCGACCGGCCGGATCTCTTCAGGGTCTGTGAATGATTCGTAAATGACTTCCATCTGAAACATTGATTGAATACGGCCTGGGTTAGATTTGGTGGTTTTTTGAAGGAAGTTCTTGATTTCTTCTCTAAAACTCCTTCAGAAGGCCGACTTTCAATCCCTTCCCCCGCCCTTCAGCTGGTGCTCTCTGCTCCCAGTTCCGGATCTATATCACCCAATGTATTGACGACGGCGACGACAGTATCTGGTCACGATCTTCACCGACATTTCTTTGCTTCACCGACAACATCTTCGTCGTTTCATTGGAACCCCATATGTATCCGTAGTAATCCGTACTTAGGCGGGTACATACAAAGGTGTTCACGATTATTCAACGTAAACCTATGACGGTAATTGCCGACATTATTGCCTATTAGCGCGACCTCACGCGATACAGTATCCGACGGCATCGTCGGCCACAGTTCAGCAGCTATCAGTCAAGTCCTTTTTTTTCGTGGTTGTCTCGTTGAACATTGAAGGAATGCGAAGGCACGCCGGATGGCCGAAACCATCGGATGTCGTCGACGAGAAGAGCGCGTTGAGTGACCGCATAAAAACTGCCGGGTTCCGATAGGAAAAATCGCCAAATTTGGGCGTTTGTGGAGAAGTTTTTTTCAGGGAGTACAGGAACTAATGAAAGCAGGAAATTTGCTATTGTATGGTTTACCCTTTCAGATGACGATTTAGTTGTTTTTCGAGGATAATATGATGACAAAAGATTGGGCTGAGTATGGCGCTAAGCATCAAAGGAACGGGATTAGGGATGAGTCCATGTGCCAGACCTCGTTGAGAGATGTATTATACCTTCTTCACCCAACGGATTACACCAATTACCCGTTCGTGTTGCTCCATCGTGCAAAAGCGGCCAGCTGTTGATGTGAATGAAGGCGGGCAAAGCAAACGGGAAGGGATGAGATGGGATGGGTGGAGAGCCAAGGCTGGTACCTGGCATCTTCAGAAGCAAACAGCAATCAGTGAAGAACTTGGTTAGCACCAGAGATGATGGCAAGAGTAGGGCATTGAAGTACGAAGAAGTTTCTTAGTGAAATACCTTTCCCATGATTTCCAGCGGTACCATAAAACTGAGATTAAAAAAACGTAAAAAAATATTGGTAAATCACTGGTAAATTAATCACATAATCTCCTTCTGAGTGAGCTAAAAGGACCTTCTTATGGGAATTTAAATATAGCCTCAAAGGATGATTTGGAGGAAGATCTGGAGAACAGGTTCACACTGTTTGATACCTGATAGTGAACATTTCTGCCCATCTTTAGTATCTCGGAGCCCCAGCTAATAGTGAAATCAGCTCAAAGCTAATTCGTGACTGGGAGATCGTTCTGAAGCCCCTTGAAATGAGGTGCTGAAATGAAGCCCTTTGCTACCTCCTCTCAGAGGCTCTCAGAGAGAACAGAATAAGGAGCGAACCCTGGAAAGGTTTGCGGGACAGACGAGTATGAGGCACTGGTCATTTGTACCCTTCACTGTATTGGGCTTCCCTGGAATCGGCATCAGAGAGAACAGA